GCATGTATTTCCCTAGTATTTGCAAATCATTTATCTTAAAAACAGCATAAATACTTCCTTCTGCTTTTACATTATCGCGCATTGGTTAACGCCAATTTTCTTGTTATTTTCAATACAAAAGTTTCAATACAAAAACGTTTAGCTCCAAAGGTGAAGGTGAGCAAAAAACACCACAAAAAATGAATAGTCAAATAAATTCAGTTGGAAAGCCAAACAGACTTAGAAAAAGGTCTACGAAGAGATTTAGAAGAGTGTACACTAGTAAAAGTGTAAGTTTCATTTAAAAGGAATTAGAATAATTTTTTAAGCAAAGAATTACAGGATTAAATATACGAAGATCTGACGCAAGCGAAAATGGTCAAAAACTGGGAACCTTGCACAAGTGAATTCAAAGTTTAGGTTAACCCTAAACAAGGTTTTGTTGAGTATTTGGTGGGATTTTTCAAGAATTTTTCACTACGAAGAGCACCAGCCTGCTTAGAAGAAAAACCACAGAAGTTCTATAAACTACCCGAAACATGCCAAAAGGTCACTGATAAGATAATTCATTATCAACAAATAAATTTTTGTATATAATAGTAACGAATGTGTGCTAACGATATCACTTATAGATTTTTATATGATATTTCAAAACGAATATCGTTCCTAACATACATTTACAATGTTTAATACAAAGTCTGGAGTCAAACAATGTCAGCTTTCCAAATATTTTTCACAGATTTTCATACTACTTTCGAAAGTGTACAACGCCCATTTGGAATGCCTCATAGAGAATCAGGAATCCTGAAAGTAAACAAGTTGTTGAAGCAGGTTAAGCAATGTCTACTCTTTAAATATCTGCATTATATACGACCCTTGATATTATATATTGTATATGCACTTAGAATTTGAAAATATTTTAATCTGATGAATGTAAATTGGGAGGGCATTAAAATTAGGGATCCTGCCAATGGATATTCTATTCAATATTGCTCTAAAAATTTTGTATCACATCAAGTTATCACCAAGTCGGATAGGAACAGTGGCTTTCTTTGAATTTCTACGAAAACGTTTGAATATTTTGACTATGTTTATGATATATGTTTACTAGTTGTTTATCATAATAACATTCAAAGTAAACTGTTTTTAGAACAGCAACGAAGAAATTTCCAAATAAGGGCTTCTAAACCAAAACTAGAAAAAGTGAACATTAACAAATCTAACGACCATATAGTTAACCACGTCCATATTGAATCTGAAGATTGGCTTGTTTTATCTTACGGGTAGTAGCGTTGTAGCTCCAAAAATGGATAAATGAATTCAAGGTCTCTGCCAAGATTACTAAGTCGAATGTACTATGAGATTTGCTCTTACGATTTAGAATGTGACTAGTTACTCATGCAATCCTTTCCAAACCTAAACCATTTCTTGATGCAAGTTTAAATGCTGTTGGTCACAAATGGTCGGTAAGTATGAACTGTTCCAGCATCGTAACATAAAAGTATTAGTTCACATAATCACCAGACATAAATAGAGATGGATTGAACATGCTTTAAGTAAGCTATTTCATGAAATTTTATGGAGGGCTTTTGAATCAACAAAGCAATATAAGAAGAACTAAATCGAAGACCTTATGGTGTCTTACTGTATTGATGGCACCAAAAGAATCTTAATTTTAATTATCCCTTTGGCTATACAAATTTCAAGTTACATGGAAATTAAAAGGTCTTGTGAAATATTAAAGTTTTTAAAAAAATAGTGTGTCTCAATCAAACCTTAAAAAATAAAACAAATATTTAAAATTCGTAATTTGGTTTATTGTGATAGTGCATTAGGTCCTTCATAATAGAGTTTCTGTACCCACCCCATATAAAGCAAATGTAATGCTGTGAAGATGTTGGCGACTACATAAGCCATGCGTTAGTACAGGAAAGTAGTAGGATGAGATTAATCAATTGTGATGCACATTTGCTTTTTCATATTATGCTATTTTATATACGAGTATTATATTATATGTATGTGTATAAATATGCTTTCCGTCCGTCTTTTAAAAAGAAAATTAGTTTTTTTGCATTTGGACTTTTTAAGAACGCATACAGGTCAAGTCAAAAAATATTTGAATGTTTCCAGTGAAAAGCAATAGAAATGGAAAATAAAACCGAGGACAGCTCAGTTAGTAAATAGTTGATGTCCTTATGAACTCACTCTGTGTGTAGTGAGTATTGAAATTTCCTTAGAACGAAAACTAACTTTATTCTTATTTTTACTTACACTGTATTTCACTTTTATTACTTTTCCAAATATTTATCTATTTCTGTTATATGGTTTTCAATGCGTTAAGCTTCTACATATATTATAAAAAAGTAACAACTTTTACGTTTTACGTCACATTACATAACAATTTTGAATAGTTCCTTTTCGGTGTCTTGCATTGCAATTGTTGCAAACTAAGTAACAAACTAACAAAGTAACGAAAAGATATAGGACAACAACAGTTTCGTAGTGAGTGACTGGCTCGCAGAGCGTAACATCTAATGTTTGTACAGTAAGCAGGACACCAGCTCATATCCTTTAATGTGTTTTTATTAGGATTTTGTTGTATGCAAAGGAATGTCTTATGTATTCTTTGGTATTGTGTTTAGCATAAACTCATTCCATATTTTGTTACTAAATTATAAAAAGGATAATAACTAAAATATACAAATTTATATTTTAACATTTAAAAAAACATATCCTCTACCGTAAAAGTACAATTAAATTCTAGGAGCTTTATAAATTACTAAATTTAATTTTAATGACAAAATGTAAAAATGTTAAAAATCTATAAATAAATGATGAAATTGGTGTTGTTTTATCGTATTATAAAAAGCAGAAGTGCACCCAAATTTCCGTTGAGTAAAGCTGGATTCAAGGATATGTGGTTATGAAACGTCAAAACGTCGAAAAAAATAGACATGACTTCCCCATTTAATTAAAAGTGAACCAACTTGAAAAGTCAATAAACTTGGCTATGTCCCCAATTACGAAACATGACAGCTCTGTAGCTTTATAACATATAAACGAAACCTCAAAGACTCTGAGATTTCTACTGGCCAAGGATAGGACTGAAACATAAGATAGAATGCAGTTTCGTTCTCTTACGTAGATAGACAAACACTTCAAAAGTCAATATGCAGTAGTCTCAGTCACATGTCTCAGCTTAAACGCAATGGCGACCAATCTCTTTACTTATTTCTGTCTTAACATTCTGTTTCCAGTGCTCACGGGTTTTGACTAATAGGTATTCCCTAGTTTGATAGCTTATATTTGTTTAGCGTCTACATTCACGCTGCTGCGGTCCATTTATTGCTTCAGTTTTCATATATTTCTATTTAGTCGCAGTTAAGTATAAGAAATGGCAAGAATGACAGGAATATCAATCATCTAACACTTAATATAATTTGAAAGTAGCCTGTAAACCTCAAACAAAAATCACGCATTAAAGAATAAACAATGCAGTAAAACTACCTTCAAAATATCAGCATATCTATAAAAAAAATTATTCTTTGCCAAAAAGAAGCTAAATAATTTAGAGTACGCAAAAATAACCATTAAATCACATATATATTTTAACTTGTGCTCGCAGTGGTTAAGAACAAAGAATCCTTTTGGCTCACCATCTAAGGAATGTTTTTCAATAAAATTTACATGTTCTTGACGCAGTTTTTTGCAATATATAAGTAATGCTTTTCAAATGACTTCTACCCAAATGTGAATGACTAGAAAACCCCAGGATATGATCACTTTTCTGGCAAAATGATGAAATCACTTTATTCAGCTACTACCTACTCCAAGCAATGAAAAGTGTCGCTCAATAAAATTATACTTGCATTATACTGCAGATCAATAAGTCCTTCATCTCAGCTTTGCAAAATTTTTGGACAAATACTACTCTCAGAGATATTATCACTACCATAATTAATTTGGATTCTTCAAAATTGCTGAAACGATCGGGAAAGTGTGTAATATTGATAAGGCCGTTCGCGAGGGTTTTATGGTTCAGAAATATTGTGCTGTAGTGTTGTTCAACATTGCTAAGGTCTTGGATGTAAAAAATGCCGGCTATATGAAATAATATACTCACTCCCAAAAAATTTTGATGAAATTTTTAAACCATACTTAATTGTTCAAAAACTCTAAATCAGGTATGACACATTTATTACGAAGAAATTTGATGTAAACGCCAGCATTACAGGGTAGTATGCTTGAGCTATTTTTGTATCTGATTTATAGTGCTGTAATGACGATATTCCAAAATCACTTCGTTACAACCATCACTTATGACACTGTAATTTTGAATACATGAAGCGTCTGCTTAACAATATTTCTTACTTAATCACTTAAATTGTTCCAAAAAATTGATGGTGACATTACGATTGATTAATGCTAAATATGTACAAGTAAACTTTCAGAAAAAAAGTTTGTTGTTTAGTCAAAATAAATAGCCTTTTTATTTTAGAAGCAAATATGCTTAATTATAATTTTGAAGCCATTTAGACCGAAGAAGATTTGTATTGTCAACAAAAATATACCAAATCAATCTTATTGCTATTAAACAAAAACTCAGTCTCAATAATAAGATTTTACTATACAAATCAATTGTATCGAAAGGCCTCCAATATTCGATTCCAGATAAATAAACTCTTACACAAATAACATGCGTGGCTTAGTATGTTATAAATGCCCATTGATATACAGATTTTAATAATTTTGTAGTTTCTCAACTGATAGATAGGTCCACCTAGACCTAAAATATAAAATCTTCCAATGCACCCCAATCCATCATCCGAGATTTGTTCTTGGTTGAAGAGAACATCTTTATTGATAGAATATATACGTATATAACTTGTATATATAAGCGTTACTATTTATTAAAATATTGAAGTAAAAAGCATCAACACGTAAGTGAAAATTTCTTTAAGAGATATTTAGTAAATTAAAGTTATGAAAAAAAATTAAATATCCTTTTAATTGGAACTCACTTTGCATGTATAAATCCCTTCATCCATTCGACTTGCTTTTGTTACGCCCAATATAGCTGTAAAAACATCTTTCGTTTCCGGTGGGAGAACAGTTGTCCAAATTTCTCTACAAAAATAAAATTAAATCAATTTATAAAAGTTATACATAGTTGATGTTTATTAAAGTATTTAAAAGTGAAATCTTTGTTTTTAATTCCACATATCAAAAACTGAAAGTTTTTTTCAGTAGATACTCCCGTTTCACTTCTTCTCTAGCAGTAGATACTTCCCTCAACAGAACAGTTTTGTTGGTGCTGTCAGTATATACTTAATAGATGTTTCATTGTATTTTGGTGTGTTCTATACAATGAAAACATTCATATCGTTCAGGTAAAAGTTTTGAACATATTTTTACGAGATACGGATGTTTTTATTTTAATGTAGGAGCTTATCAAAAAAAAATTAAACCAAATCGAAGGTGATCGGTTAAACATTGCTAAAATCTATTCCGCTTATGTTCCGCATATATCTGATCCATATATGTGCACATTACCTACTCGTGTTATACAAATTTAATCTTTGAAACGGCAACAGAGAGTGCATGAAAAAATTTTATGAATCCTAATTGAGCACCAAATAAGAAATTGGAGAATTGATGTCTTTTCTGTCGCCTTCTTCAGTAACAGTAGTTGGTAACCAAATCAAGAAAAAAATTATGTGAAGACAATTTAGAGAAAGAGATTTTTTTAAATTATAATTTTATTTATTTTATATATTAATACTCCTATTGAGATAAAAGTAATTCGCACATCTCTTTAACATATAACTTATTTTATTTATTTATTTATTTTATTTATTTAGTGCATTAAGTACATGGTTCTTATTGCACTATCTTGAAAACTAGCTTCAATGCTAACAATATATTCTTTCAAATTAAAATTAACAATGGATTTAAATTAAAAATAATATATCTAAATGAATTCAGCTAACAATAACTTTTTAAAAAATGTAAAGTTACATGCATTTCGGGTTGTGCTTGGCAGAGCGTTCCATAATCGGACTAAATGAATGAAGAAAAACCTTGTGGAAGCAACAAAATTAAATCTTGGAATTATGAAAAGAAGAGATCTATTGGAACGCATAGGTTGCGAGCAATTATAAAGGTACTCCGGATATTTAGTAGTTTTCAATTTAAACAGAAACAAGCAGATTCGAATATTTATTCAATGTCACAACCCATGCATTCCTATAAACTTTTAGATGATCGAACCGTTTAAGGCCGCAGACGTATCTAGTACTGCAGTTTACTATAGTTCTCAATTTAGAAAGGGACATGCAGTTAAGTTTAGAGTACACCAACGCGTCATAAGTAATTGCAGGCATTATCAGTTGTTTGACCAATAAGCCAGGCACATCGACTGGGGAATACTTAACAGATAAATTCAAATATCTGAGGCAAATAAATGATTTCCTAACGACATAATTGACATGATCAGAGGTATGTAAATTTGAATTCAATGAAAATCCTAGACATTTAACTGATGCACTGTATTTAATAATTGAATTTCCAATAGCCACCAGTGGTAATTCGTCTAAGTTTAATTCAAACCTAGTAAACGGCAAAATGATGGTTTTATCTGCATATTTAGCAGCATATTTTTTTCAACTGCCCAGCGGTGTATGTACCATATGTTAAATCTATATTAATCTTTCTTACAAGGTCATTTAAATTAGTACTCCGACACGAATGATACATTTGTATATCATCAGCTTATTCATACAGCTTCTAGAATTGATATCCTGAGAAAACGTTACTAATATAGATAAAAAATAGTAATGACCGCAGAATCGAGCCTTGAGGAATCCCAAAAATAGATTTTCAAAATTTGATCATTTATTGTCAATAACTATTGATTGCGATCTCTCAGTTATATAACTAAACTAAACTGAAACTTATGTATGAGCTTTTTACAGAGTAAAGCGTGATCAACTCGGTCAAATACTTTTGAAGAATTGAAAAAACATAAGTAAGTAACCAAATCGCTATTGCAACTCAATTTAATATCTTCAATGACTGACTTTCAGCAAAGATAGCAGATGAAAAATGCTTAAATGATTGCGAATCTGTTCAAACATTATAGTCTCACACACCTTAGAGAGAGAAATAATAATACTGATAGGACGATAGTCAGAAACTGATGAACCATTCACTTTTTTTCAATTGGAATAACTTTAGCCTTTTTCCATACCACTGGAAAGATAGAGGTTGTAATACAATAGTTTAAAATATGAGTTAATGGTGATATTATGAATGGCAAAATAAGCTTTAAGAATGTAAGAGGAGTTTTATTAAACCCAACAACATTGGATTTAGTACTCATTAAATTCTTAATACCAATATCTTCACTGCCACAGTAAAAGCTAAAGCGTTACATTTACATCAACACTATCCATATCTAAGAATACTGAAGAAGAGTTACCATTATCATCTACAGAAGAGACAAAGAAGTTATTTAGAGCATTCGGCTCCACACAATATATATTTTTACCCAAGTATTTTGATATTCTTATATTTCAAAGGGTTTATTAGATTTAGTACCACCAAGTTTAGACTCATAGTATACTGATTTAGCTTTATAAATAGTTCTAGCAGCTTCATCATTATTCAACATTATTGACGGTAATAGTACGAAAAGGTACATATGACGATGACGAAGGCTTATGATTGATGCTTATGATAACGAATTCAATGTTAGATTTATCAGACACACATACCAAATTACTTTTTAAATAAGACTTGCAATAATTTGCAACCCTGTCTTATCTCCTTTGCTTCCTATCATGGCGGTATAAAATTTGATTGTTCAGTAAAAGATATAAACTACTGATGTCACTATAAAACCAAGTTTCCGAAACACACATGACATCAACATCTGAATTTTCAAAATGTGGTCAAAGTTTAGATCAGTTAGGCTTTTAGTAATAATTTTTACCATATTTAGACTGCTTTTGTTCACTATCAAGGTTTTGTGGTCCATCAAAGTTGATAATCAGTTCTATCAGCTTCCACTTTAAGTTTTCTCCGCAGGGTTTTAAAGCTATTTTTACATTCTTTGTATATGTGGCCAACTTCATCGCATTTTGCATATACATGCTCACTTTCCTTACAAACAGTCGCCCCCAGCCCCCAGCACTTGTACCATCGCTTCACAAGTTTTCATATACTACGCATCGTTTCCAGTCAATTTTAAGTCTACAAACGCTCATAACTTGATTGAAAGTTATATAATCTAATTCAACTAATGCATTAAAGCTGTTTTTGTTTTTGAAGGACTCATAGATTTTCAAGACTTTTATATACTTAATCTCCATAACGTTTTGATTTCTTATTGCTTGAAGAAATTTATCATTTTCCAAACGCTCGCTCATGCTGGTAATTAGGATTTTAGGGATTTCGCATAAAATAGTGTATTTAATATGAACTGACTCTATCAGAAAACTAGGTTAGGTTAGGTTACTGGGGCCGTCAGAAGAGTTACTAACACCATAAGGTCTATTGTGATACCCTTAAGAGTTTGACACCTTTTGATATCCAGTCATTGATACGAGCTATGAAAACAGAATCTAGCACTCTTAATGAGTTGAAAAAGTACGACCTTAGGTAGAAGAGTCTATGTCTTGCGAAAGCAGGACACTGTAACAGAAGGTGTATTGGTGATTCTTCTTCATCATCCTCCATGCAATTTCTACAGTGCAAAGAGGGCCTGATAGTGAGCCTCACGGCATGTCCTTTCAAAGTACAGTGTCCCGTAATAATTCCCACTATCTTGGATAAATTTGCTCGGGTTAGGTTGGTTAAGTCCCCCGATCTTTTTTTACTAATTTCTGGCTAAAATTCCTTAGTTTTAATGCAGTTAGGCACTGTTGACCATCTGCTCTTAAACATCTTGTGTGTTGATAATTCGATATTCAATGTGGACAAGCAGTAAGTGATATACTCACACCTTGTTGTCCCAGAAGAATTTGTGCGGTCGTACCATGTCTTGCTAGTTCATCTGACCTAAATAATCCGTATTCGAAAATAATCAGCCAAGACAATTTAGCAAACTATATTTCCTTCGATTTATTTTATTACACTATTACACTTAACAATTGCTATTGTGAAATAAGAAAGTACGTTTTACAACACTTGTTTTTGTTTTTATTTGAAGCTTAAAAGCTTTAATTGCTATCTCTATCAACTCAATTAAGTATGTGTAAAAAAACAAATCAAATTAAATTTTAATAAGCTCAAATTATTTTGCAAAGTAAACAATTTTTTTAGATAGCAGCGCAATTAATTAAAATTCAATTTTGATAAATTTCAATACGCCCGGTGCAAAAATCATGACTCCCGGTGACTATTCTCAATTCCATCAAGTTTTTTGCCACTTCAACAATTATTTCTCAGCCAATTTCAGATTTTTATCACAAAAACACGGACAACAACAAAAGCGCGACTCCACTAGTCAACAATATTAAGTTTCATTTATTTAGATAAATATATTTTCTTAATTACCTCAAGTCTTATCAACACGCCTTCAGTATGAACACGCAGAGAAGGAAGCTATTTGCCATTCAAGTTTTCTGAAAAGCTAAAACTAATTACATTAAAAATCAAATACTTTCACTTTTTCATGCTTTCACTTTGACCTATACCACATCAGACGAGAACAGCGGTGAAGTCAAAAACTAACTAACCTGCATACTCATATTTAATTAACCATTAAAAATAGTTGAAACGTTAAAAGTGATGCCTTGGCTTTGGTGCCCACAGGTGCATATTTAGCAGAACATCGTGGCGAACTGGCCACCACAATTGCCTGAAGGTAGCCGCACAACGGGAGTAACGGCAAACAACCAAAGATGGGCATTGGTCAGTTGGCGACCGACGTAGTACGAATTCATTATGATTTATGCCACATTTGTTGCTAATGGATTTTGTAGATACTCCAGAATTTGATAAATACTATCTGTATGCACTATATATATAAACAAAGTAGCCGGTTCTTGGCGGAAATAGCGTGGGATGCGTTATGTTGCGCTAATGTTTGAGCGCGCACATTTTCATGTGGTTAGTCTACATTAACGACAACCGCACTTCCGCTCCACAGGCATTGGTAAAAAGGCACATATGCCTCCACGCATCCACGCATCAATGCATCCAAGCATCCAGGCATCCACACAACTACCCATCCACGTTATGGATACTTGTGTCGTTGCGTATGGTTGCGCTTGTAATTCGATGTTACCACTGCAAAAATGCTAATGATATAGCCCGATTTATACAAATGCCATTATGTTTGCACTATAATCATGAAGGACACTGCGACAGATATGGGTAGAGACGCAAGACTGCCGGCCGTAGGAGTTTAGATCACGCTTGCAGTCACCACAAAATAATTTTCATATGCGATTGACACAATAACGATTGCTGCGTTTGCTAGCGGGCACTCAAGCGAAAAACAAGCAAAAAATCGAAATAAAACAAAAATTGAACTAAGTGCTCCGACGGCGAAAGGTCCTTCGCAAAATGCAATTGACCATTAAACCGCAAATGTTCGTACGCTTTTACAATAATTGCACAAAAAGCATTTCGCCGCACGACAGCCAGAAAACAAAAGTGAATAGCATTGGACAGAAAGTATCTGGCAATGCCTACTTCTGTATCTGCGGATGAGCTTTGCACCGTTCGTTGTATTGACTACGTTGGCTGCGTTGGCTGCGTTAGTTGCGTTAGTTGCGTTGCTATTGTTGCATCAGTTTCAGTTGGTAATTCAATTTCGTGTGTATTTCAAGCGCTGTTGCCCACTGATTCTAATGCGATTAGCTCAGAGTTATAAAATTGTTTATTTGCTATTTAAACTCTTTTCATTTCATTTTTTTAGCTTAAAGCTTAACTCGAGGTTTGTCATGAAAAAATTGGTATACGAGTAAAAAATTGAAGATAAATTGATATGCTTTAGGAAGTTTAAATTGGATACTAATATAATAGCCGAAAGACATTTTTATATAAATCAGAGTTTACACAAAATTAAGTAGAGTATGCTTTCAAAACAAATAAGATCTACCATCATCAATATTAGCTTTAACGGTCTTAGCATAAGATTAGGTTCCCCAATAGGAGAGATATAATGCACAATAACAAGTCGAAGTAAATTGTCCATAAACACCTCTTCGAACTGTGCAATGTTGGGAATTCTCATTTTGATGTTTCATCCAAACGCATAATTCTTTTAGCCGGATAAAATAACTGGTATAGACGGTGCTCCTTTAAAAAATTGTATCGAAAAAATATTTTGAATCAATCAAATTATATGATTCTAGTATAAAGAAACTTTCTAGAGCTTATACTAAATGTTTGTCATAAGTATTCAACTAGAAAGTTATTTGTTGTAGTCGCGAATGTTTCTAGAGAGCCTTTGCTAAATGAACCCTAATTAACATATTAAACAATAACTAGTTCTGTACAAGGTTTATAACAGAATTGTATAATTTTTTTTTTAATCCAGTACAAACCATGTGTTTTTGGGCATCGGAATTGAATACTGAATTTAGATCATAACAGAAAACATCAGAAGATTTTGTAATAAAGCATACGAAGGGCTACTATATGTCAGAGTTAGCAGTAAAATACATCACTACGTAAGATTCTCTAATTAAAAGTATCACATGTCGTCGTGACTATGGAATAGTATAAAATTTATATGATGTCGTTGATAAGAATATCATGTATAGTCCGTCACCGTAAAGGTGCGAAAATTCGTTTAACGTTTGAATCTAGGCTATCATATAATTATGGTAGGGCTTACTTTAAGTACGGAATTTCATAAGTAATTTTGGTTCAGAATCGCATTCAGTGATAAAAAACAATTTTTTTTTAAAATACCCAGTTGGCTTTCGAAAGCCGCTCTGGACATTGTAGTGAACGCCTTATCAAATAGAATATCTTTTGTTGTGCTTCTAATTATGTAAAAAGTTTTTCCTTTTTTTATTTAAAGTTAAAACGTGACTTATATCATTTACTTAAACTTCATACAGTTCTACAATATTAGAAATATATACTAATAATAAAATATTCACTTAACTTTAATTTGGAAAAGTTTTCTCTGTGTTAAACCAAAGTTAAACATACGAACAAAGTAAATATTTGTCTTCCTAAATTCATTGTCATAAACATTGAACTCTGGGTTCTTCATTTGTTGGCGTTAACAAGTGTAAATATTTTGAAAATTATTTTGATATAATCACATATAGCTTATATCGATCTCAACCCCTCCAAATTATGCGCCACCAAAACTAAATGTCGCACTCAATACTCAATGTCGCACTCGAGGAAACTTAAGCAGACACTTACACAAAGTTCACATAATTTTAGGCGACAAACGTGTCTGCACATACAAATTGCATGCAATTTCGAATGATGGAAAATAGTTCATATCCTGAATTTAGTTCAAAATAGAAGAAACTAAACAAAATTCGTTGTCATTCCTCAACATCAGCATTGGCATTATTGCCATTGATTGTAGATAGCAAGTAGTTTCACATATGACCGCTGTACCCAGTCAGTGTATTTGGCATGCACATCCCATCTTCTAACAGTGGGATATAAGTGCGGAATACGAGTAGTTATATCAAAGATTCGTGCTATTTTATACATATATATAAAAACGTGAGGGCTATATATTTCAAGCTTTCAAATTCAAGGCATAAAACGCAACTGCCTATCACATTTTATGAGCTTTACACCACTACGTCATCTTACACTTCTGTGACCGCACCCAACGTCCAGTAGACCAAATAGTCATCGATGGGGTGAGAATATAAGTACCAGCAATGCTGAAAAGTAGAATATGAAAGGGAAATCATGAGCTTATTTCCAATTACATTAAGTCTATGTCATTTACAACAGTTTCATCAGAAAAATATGTCCGTGTACAATAAAATAAAGTGAGAAAAGGTTTGATAAAAGTGTTTGTTTTTGACTTTTGATTTCATTTTGTGGAGCTGTCATCATTGTTCTGCAATCATTTACGTGTGTTGCGTCAAGATACATCAAAGGAAGTGATGTTCATATTTAATTTAGTGAACATTTTTTGCAATCAATTAATTACAAAAAGTCGAAAAAGTTGTTTTTCTGTGTGGGAAAAACTTTTATGAACTAAAAGTTTAAATATAGCACAACAGGATACACAAACAAATACAGAAAGTGTTGCCGTGCAACGTATTTCTTTCCCATCGATTACTTAAGGACATTTACCTCCATCAGTTAAAATTGGTATAGCCCACCTTTCCACCGCCTGCACTTTGGCAACTTAATGCAACATAATGTAGCGCCCAATCCAAATGAAAAAAACGGTCATGACTTGAAAAATACATTAAGTAAATGAACAAATAATAGTAATAAAGGAAGTAAGAACATTAAGTTAATAATTAAATGCATTAAATTGCTTATATGATCATAATGCATATATATACCATATGTTCAGTTAGTACAATGAAATTCTTGTTAAATGAACGTTCTTTCTCAACCATTCACCATTGACACTCCCCATTTTAAGGGACAGAAGTACTGACTCAATCGGTGTTTGCTTAAAAAAGCTTTCACTGTTATAAAAAATAAAGTGTCAAAAAAAATATTTTATTAACACATCAAGCTGAAGTACAGTAAAAACTTTTTTAAATGCACATGCATCTTTTAACCATGCATGCTGATGGTTCCTAGTTTGATTTTACATTCATAATAAATTCTTTAATATATATACTTTTCTGAACCTGACAGAATTGCAGATTCAGTTCGTATTTCTATGTTAGGTCAGGTGAGATTAAGACGGTACGTGCTGAAAAAACTATTAGCGTTGTTGTGTCCTCTCGGTTACACATATTGTCCATTGTTATGCCCGCACATAATTGCTTGGAAGAGGCGACCCACACTCACCGCTGATTTTCTTAAATAAGACAGAGCAAAGCTCATGTTCTTACAAACAATTAACAAAAGCAGTAACCATTTGCATGCCTTTCCGTTAGTATGGAGCACCTCTTTAACTTCATATCGGATGATTATTTCTGATACTGATGAGACAATACTCACTATGAGTATCGCCAACTTTTTTAGGCTGAACATTGTTCTCTTCTATAGATGATCAATCAATTTGTCATATTACAAACTTTCAAACATTATGTCGTTTCAAAGGATAGCGAGTACTTATAAGGAACACAAAAAAATGATTTATTTAACTTCGTAACGGCTTTTGGATCAAATATATATGTTTTATTAAAGTTACACTTATAAACGTATTATATAGTTAAAAAAAAAATTCTGTCAGTTTCATAATCTAATTATATAGCATTTACATATATTTATGTGAGTATAACTGCATTACTTTTGGGCCTGAAGCGCTAGAACTTGCTGTGTTGCTACAATAACAGATTAGCGTATGTGTGCTTAGTTTAAATGGTGCCGCATAGCTAAATTTATGCGTTAAACTCCTCACTACGTATCATTTTTAAAAATTTAATAGTTATTAATAATTTTTTTATTTTACTCGCTTCGACTGCTGTCCTTCTTCCCTCAACGCCTTTTCCAAAACTTCATTTTCTGCAAAACACTATAACTTTTGACAGCAGTTCGATTTGATTTTCAGGCAGTTTTGTTTTCTGAATTCTGGTCGTCATTGCTCTCTATGGCTTTCGTGTCCTTTGCAGTGGCACCGAAGTAGGAGCCTGTTTGCTCGATGTCGACAACGCGCTCCACATCATCCAGAGGCGGTGGTGCAGGAACAATAATTGTTAAAATGCCATCGCTTGATAATATTGCCCTCGCCTGTGTTGCATCGTAGTTGCGTGGAAGTTTATATTTGCGCGTAAATTCACGAGTTATGCAAAGTGGTGTGTTGTCAGCGCGGTCGTCTTTTTGCTTGCCCTCTAACAGCACATTATCGCTATTTTTTACCTTCACGACCAACTCATCGGCACGAAAGTGATGCACATCAATGACAACCTTGAAGGTACCCTTACCGTTGGTGTCTAGCTCATCCCCCGTTTCGATGATCACAGAACTGGCCAGGCATGAGTTATGACACCACGGTCTGTCAGTGTGGTGTACATGCCAGTCTCCAGCGCACATATCAAAATCTACAGCACCAAGGCCCCAATATCGGCGTCGGCTCGGACATTTCAGGTGGTAGCCTAGGTCTGTACGCCATATGCGCGGCCAATGCCAGTAATGGTGTGAGTCCCAGTCCCAGTCCCAATGTATGGGCATCGTTCTGGGAGCTTGTCGTTTATTATTACCCCGTTTCGTTATCGTTTACGTGCGACAAGCAATTTTTTTTTGGCTTGCCACCAAAAAAAGTGTTGTCTCCGTTCGTGGCGCGTGCCTCGTTCGTACTGATGAAAGTTTCGTCAACTTTTTGCCAGGTAAGCACTCGCTAAATTGTTATTGTTTAGTAGCAAATAATGAAATACCGCAGTGATTTTGTTGCTTGGTATTCCAATTATTCAAACAATCGGGCACCTGCACAACCGAACACTACTTGCACACGGTTCAGTGTTTTGCTTTGTGTGTATTTCTGTGAACAGTTGTCGATATCCGTATGTGCTAGAAGTATGTTGAACTATTTTCGAAATTGTTACATTCCAATAATGAATTTAGGTGAAGCACCCCAGTTGGCAAATACATAGTACTTCTGAAATATGCTCGATATCCTTTTTAAAATATGCAACTTGCGTTCCAACTTATTTGCCCACTGCTGTCAATTATTTTGCACATGCACAGCAACGATTGTTTGATCAATAATTGAAGTAATACCAACGAGTGCCAAGGCGTGCGACTAGTGTTGACTTTTGATGGATTTACTTCTTAGACTATTTAAGGATGTATATAAGCTTCAATTGCAATACAATTGTGTAAGTATTACAGAGGAGTAAAAGTGGAGTTTCGTATCCGCATATGTGTCTGTTTTCGAAATTGATTGCTTTTTATTGTTTGTAATATAGCATGTGCAACTGCAACGTCAATATAGCGAGCACATTGCCAAGCTCTACCAGTAGATATACAAATAGACTTAGATACGATGAAAATAGATATGCGCACTTGTGTATACATTTGCATTTGGTAAACTCTATTTGTAAACATATTTGCATTTGTATACGTTTTTCAGTTGCTGTTGTAAGGATTCTATGTGCCCGCAAGTATTTTTATATCACGGAAGTGAAACTAATGAAATTCGTGACCTTACGCGATACAAAACCCTGCCACCAAAGTCAAATGTTGTTGTGTGGAACAAAAGTCAACATAATACCGAGTAACCAGTAGATATACCTATGTGCGTTTAGTAAGTCAGTTGGAAAACAGTCATATATCTTAGTAGGGCAATAGTGATTTATAGATACCCAAAATTTAAGATTTGTTGAGATAGATAGACTAAAAGAAGTGACGCATAGATGCTATTATATTGTCATATATTCCGATATGTGCTTCGTACTTCTATGTTTTAAAGCCAACCTGTGTGGTCGACAAAGAATATTTTAGGAAGATATATATTTTAAGTGTCTACATTAGGAAGTATTGATTTAGTTATTTTTCACTTCTTCCCTGCATTGTATCGTATTGCTAGTTAAGGAGAATATATGACATTTTTGGTGTGGTTACCTATTGGTAAATGGTGTTTTGACATAGCCGCAGGTTTCACCATCACAATATTTAAAGCTAATGTCAAAAAATAAAAACATATAAAATTCTTATAGATTATATTACAAAAGATATCGTCGATGTAACAATATTGAAATCTTAGGTTAAGAGTTTTACCACTTCATCTTCTTCATTCGGATTTTCATATTCATTAAGTTGTGGCCAAAGTTTCCTAGCCCATCGTTTGTTTTTTATTTCTACATCATTCCCTGCACAGCAATTTGAATAAGATTCTCTACCAACCAAATCGCTTATAAAAATATTAAGCAAACTAAAAATTTGTTTGAAATCAAAGGGATCTATATTTTGGACTCATAGTCTAATAATAATATACATAAAAGTGTGGTAATGGTTCGAAAAGTTATTTTTTTGTTGCTAAACATTAAAAATAAATATTTATAATGAACAAATAATTAACAGCAATATTGTCAACTACGTTTTTTTAATGTGTAAAAGGTAGTATATATTAACGTCATAGATAAACCATTTTCGAACTTCACTTTTAGAAAACTTTAAGAATTTGATTTAAATACATATTTTGAATCAGATATCTTATTTTCGTAAGTTATCTCCCGAACAGCTGAGGTGATCAAAATGAGGACTGCATGCTTCTGTGTTCAGAAGCAATCCCTAAAATTTCTGAAAATTCTGAGTTTCTTTCTTTAAATACCAGTACACCACAATTTACCACAATATAAATGTTAAATTTTTCATAGCTAGAAGCTCTTACGAGACTATATAGACATTAGTTACAGCTCCGGCTGCTAACTTCTTCGACTATATCAATATGTTTAGTTATTTAACCTTTTACAACGTTAATGGGCGACAGAGGTACAATTGTGTCTTCATATATACAGTAAGAACAATTTTTCCATATCCAATTTTTTTATGATAAATAAATAAAAGTTGTTTGTTTTTTAAGGTAAAATTAAGCCCACAGCAATTACAAGATTTATAAATAGTCTAAAATTGTCCTAGTTGTGCCTTTAGGCACGCAATAGATCTTTTAGGTCGGGGTGCTTCAATAGCCTATTTCTTAAATAATAATAATAAAAGTCCTAGTTTGTAATTACACCTGCTGGGAAGTTCAAAAAACGCTATTACACATTTTTCGAAATGAAAATTATTCATTTTTACTTTTCACCAATAACAATATTCAAGAAATTACGTATACGTATATATAAATTGCGGTGACTATATGCACATGTTAACAGTATGATTTTTATAGAGAATGAGATTTTCAACTCGATTATGACTCCAGAAATATCTGACACACCTGTCAGATCAAACCTGGAGAAGGCAAATCGACATGGAAATGTCACACCTGCGGAAAAGCTGGGGAGAGTTGAAGCTATTACTCACCAATCGTGCCGAGTGTAAGATATTTGTTGCGACCCTATGCTTCTCCTAGGAGTTAAAGGATTAAATATATATATGTAAGGAGGCAACGCGTTGTAGAAGTAATGTTAGAAGAAACGAGGTAAGGTCGACAGTTGATGTTTGGCGGTCGAATTCAGAGGTCGTAAAGCAGCAGTCGTAAAGTCGCGGTCGTAAAGAAATAATCGTAAATTAACAGTGGTAAAAATAGTGCGGTGGCAGTCGGTCCCTTGTGTTTATGAATTTTATAACATTTAATTATATTTAGTTTATTATTTTGGATTATAATTTTACTTTACAAATAAATCAATCTCACATATATATAGTTTATAATATAAATTGGTACAAAGATTTTCTGATTCTTCTAAACGTCCACCACAAAAACTATGTATATGACAGTAAAAAATTAAAATTTCTCAGATTGCCAAACCAGAGATAATCAAGTTCTATAATAAAACCAAAGGAGGTATCAACGTGATTGACAAACTGTTGAGTGAATACAAAGTAACACGATGAACACAGCGTTGACCTCCGGCAATGTTCTAGAACATGATACTTATCACTGGACTGGTATCTTATATTATCTATAGAATGCATTAACCAATGCTCAAAACAAAGGATCAACGAAAGTAATTTCTCAAAGATTTTGCCAAACAGCTTTGCATGGTTTCAATTGAAAACCGTAGTGCAAACAAAAAAATGATGCGGGACCATTTTTTCCGAAGCGCAGTAGAAGTGGTATTTGGTTAAAGTATTTTGATACTATCAGAACCAGGAACTAGTCCTAAAATGCCTCATGGCAGACGTGAAGCAGACTTCTTAACTTTCAGGCAGTTGCGGTATAGGCAAAAAGAGGTATTACAATTGGAATGTGCAAAATTTACAATTATACCTATACCGTTCGACTAGGGTTAAAGTATGTTTTTTAGAGTCGGAAGTATGAATTGACACATAATACTAAGTATTAAAATATTTTCATGTAAGATTATACTCAAATGAGGGTTGTATTAAAGTTCAGTCAGAACATTTATTATTAGAACGCTTAAAATTTTGTATTTATTTTCAAAAAACTTTCTCTTTCCACAAATAATATTTTATCTTAAATTTATATCCAAGTCATAACTTAAATATTATTGATAAAATATGAAAAATGGTTACTAGGTTGGGGTTATTAAGGCCGTTTGAGAGGTTTGCTTTGTAAAAAAGAGTATTTTCGTAAAACATAAAAAAAAACACGTTATAAACTTGTAAAAAACAACATTTTGAGAAGATTAAATTTCATTCATAATAACTTTTAAACAAAATATTTGCAATGGCATTTCAAATATTTAACAATCACATCGATAAAAGTTTTAACATTATTTCTATATAATATTTTCCATTTTTCCAGTGAATTATTTCTTAATATTACAATTGCTTTAATAGAACTTGAGATGCTTGCACGCATCTTGCACATTATAAAATCTTTCATTATTTGCTCATCAAAATGTGATACTTTGGATTTAGTCATGCATTAAAAACTCACTTACTTCAGGCTACATTGTCTCGTCCAACAGCAGCAACCAAGCTTCCGCCCACTTTTTTGTAACATAATTTCTTCGTTTGACTAAAATTTGTTAAGAGTGTGCAGTTATTTCTTAGCAATGAAGAGGAAATCTTCATTGATTTTCTAGCGCCCATACAGAGCATCGATATATTGGCTTCAGTACAACACAATTTTCCAATACTTACAAGCGAGCTTAGTACTTGTCAGTTCTTATGCTTCAACGAGCACATATGCCACTGGTATTTGCGAATGCAACATCAGCTCCAGCTTCGTTTCCAGTTGGTTGTGCTGATATGAGTGTATGTAGTCGAAGCCTTGCAGGCGTACTAAACCTCGAAGACGCTAATTTTTTTACCGATGAATTGACGCCGGCAGCATCGCAGAAAGTCTTACACATATTTAGCGACCAAATCTTTCAAGCCTGAATGCAAAACAGTTGTCGTGGGAAGATAAGGAATGCGGGGGCAGCAAACATGAAAACGTATTTAATACAACTGCCTGATAAATAGGATAAATTTCCGCACAAAAGGATTCCTTTAGCAGCTGTTTTCGAAGGAAATAAATAGAAACTTGGTTAGCAGCTCCTATGATGAATCACGTTCACTTGAGTTTATGTCATTTTCCAAAATCCTTTTAGCACAATTCCAAAAGTGACAGTAAGTGCATTGAACGTTGCGTTTCAGTGGTTTGACTGTACCATTGGAACACAGCTTTTGTTGGTAGACATAAAGATTTTGCTTACTTAGTGCAACGTG